TTAATTACTATACTCAGATGCAAGTAGGTAGTTACCATTTTCCCCACCAGGTGGTTAATTCGGGTGAAATAACATTGCAGGGTATTACAAAATCCCCTTAAACTTGAATATTCTTAATTTTTAGTGGTTCACATTTCATATTAGTCTTTTGTATCTGATAGTTGTACAAATTAAAATATCTCCAGTTAAAGAAATTATTATCTGCACAACACAAGAAAATATATTTCACTTTTTGTGTTTTACAACATGGGGACTATGGGGAATCTCCCTGACCTAAATGTCAAATTTTCGAAGAAAATTCAATTTTAAAGTTGATGGACTCATTTCAGAACCACATTTCTTGATGTATTTTTTCATGACGATTCCAAATTCAACATCAATTAGACTGAATTTTGAATTTTTAATGACAAAAATAAAGATTGTTACTACTCGCATCTAGCAGATTGGATTATGAGCCTTAAAAATAATAGTTTTCGCCTTAACACAGCAAATGTGTATTTATCTTTCAATGTTCTTTTTACTCAAATTCACCAGAAAGACAAGTGTCTTTTTAATAACTTGCAATAAACATGCATCTGCAATGGTAGTGCAATGGTAGTTGCAATGCAACATATATTAGAGAGAAATGTGATAGATAGAAACCACGCAGGACAGACATACATATGAACCTATAGTTAGAAAGGGCCAGAAACCTTCTGGCGAGAGAAAATCTTGAAGATCGGAATAGATTTCAAGGGTTGCATATTATGATAGTATTGCAGAACCCTCTTCATCTCCGCTGACCAAATTATGACTGTTTACCGAGTCTTCCACTAATCCAACCAACAAACTATTAAACTTGTTGTTGATTGGCAACCATTTTGTAAAAGACATGTATGTACACACACACAGCACTGAATATTGTTATATTGAGAAAAATATTCTTATTTTCTCATTTGAACATTTAAGAGATTAAGATTTTAAGATTTTAAACAGCAATATGTCTTTCACAATGAGTACTTCCTGGCCATAAATAATGTGTTTATTATTAAAACAATGTGTTTTATTCCAAGTGAAGTCCCCATGATTGTAAAATATGAATCCAACTTTCTGGAAAATTATGGATAAGGATCCCACCTTGGCACTTTTCTAAAATGATAGGCTTATTTTGTAAAAGGATGATCTTGTTCTTCTCAATTAAAACACTCAATTAAAAGTTGCCTCACTTTATATCAAGAATTACTTAAAAGGGGACGGTATTTAAAATTTAAAAAGTTGAAAATCACATCTCCCATGCTATCCATTGTTTTCAGCATAGTTTCCGTCATCGCAAATTGATATTCAAAACTACACTTTCAAACTATTCTACTTTTGAAAAAGTTTAAGAGCCCTTGTTAGATATAATTTGTAATATTTTCCACAGCCATTGAAAAAAGGCATACATTTTCAATAAAAAAGTGAAAATGTTTGTTCACTAATAGACATACAGTACAATATCAGAATTTCCGCTGATTTAAACATTTTGGTGACCATTTAGTCAATACTAACAATTATATTTACTAGACAATAAAAAAATTGAGATCTAACTTAATTTAATGTAACCATACCTTGACGACATAGCTAGTAAGTAATAGCTAATCAACTCCTTCTCTGGGACATTTTGAATTTTCTGAGGCATTAATCATAAAATTAACACCATCTTCAATTTAATTGATTACATATGGCCATACTTTGAAGGAATCTGACAATAATTGCAAAATCATACATACTGTAAGACAGACGATGAACTGACAGACTGACGGACGGAGGGGTTCACTATATCCCCACTGAACTTTCTTCGTTGGGAAAATAAAGACTATAAACCTTATCAATTGAATTCTACCACCCATTAAAGCAGATATGAAATGGTATTTTTAACCTAAAGGAATCAATATAATTTTTTGATAGATGTATTTGGACATGTTTTCTCATCAGTAGTGTGAAAACTATTTCACTCTAACGATCGTTATAGCTGCTTAATAAGCAATATTCGAATTGGTTGTGACGTTATTGGCCCCCACGTGATCTCTCACTGGTCCCCACGTGGCCCGTTTTGGTCCCATTAGATCATGACGCCATAATGCCAAAATGTTTTGTTATTTGTTTACACAACAATCCTATGGTTGCCGTGACGTTGTGATTACTATGGAAAAAATAAACCAAAGCTATATTTTGTATATGACGTTACTAATCACGTGGGGGCCAATTTGATTGATCAGTTAGTTTTATTTCGTTATTTATGACCGTTAGCAGTTATCTAACATTTATTTTATAATGGCTATCGCAAGAACTCTACGGTGGGCTTACAATGGAGAAAACTGCATTTTTGTAGCCGCAAGTTGAGAAAAGCTATTTCAGTTGTCCTTTAATGTATACTTGGACATCAATCTTACTATTGTAGCATGCATACAAGTGAAGATATCATCTTTGTTACATATCTGGCAGCCATTTTGAAAAAGGCATAATTTGTTGATATAAAGAGGAAGTTCCAATTTTTTAAGACTCAAACCCATAGTAAATTTATTCTTCACCCACAAAATGTATATTTAGGCACCAATCGTATCATTATAGTATGCATGGAAGAAAATATATTGTCTCCGTTGTATTTTTGGTGGCCATTTTGAAAAATTTGAATGTTTCCAATATAAAGCGCCATCTGGCGTGTGTCTTTGGATAAATTTGATTCTATGGTCCTAAGGTACTCTCATGTCAAAGGAAACGTTTGCATCATAGATTGAAGTCCAGACCTAAAATGTAGTTGACCCATCTACTATCAGATGTGGGCTGCAATGTAAGTCGATAACATAATCCCGCAGATTTACTATTTTCTCCCTAAAAGCTAGCAACGCTAAATAACAACCCAGCCTCCCAAATAAGTATAATATACCTTTACTATTGATTATATGACATAGTGTAGTGACATACCAAATTGTTTGGAATGTATTACCTTTAAAATGATATGTAAGTCAATGAACCATATTCAATGTAAATATTTTTATCCTGATTTGAAGTTGGGTATTGGTTTTTTGGCCAACCCTGTATATATATTCTGTCATATGACTTGCGGCGAACCATTCCCATTAATTTACAAGGGAATGTCGATTTTAAAAAAATCATCAGATTTATCATCAATTTTCGACCTATTGTAATTGAGGAAAAAATTTGGAGGCATTGTAAATGAAGTCAAGTTACATTTCCATTAATAATATAAGTATTATCTTCACAGGCTAAGTAAATAAAAATGAAAACATAAAGAGGCTTTAACGCGTAGTTCAATGAGGGAGCAAAGGTTGCCATACTTATGGAGGGGGGGTACTATTCATATTTAAAATAGAAGGTTAATCCGGTAGCCGACAGGCGTTAGTTGCATTCGCAAATACAAGCTATGCTTACCTTGTATTCGCGAATGCAACTTTCGGCTGACGACTATTAAGTTTACCATACATAAGTAGGTTAGTCTTGTAGCCGAAAGCCGTTGTTTGCATTCGCGAATATAAGCTTACCAAGCGTAGTCAATCAATAGTTGAATAGTAAACGATGAAGAAATCAATTTTTAAACTGCACCTGGCCTGTTACATGCAGTGCACTGAAGCTGAAGCTAATAACACCCACTCCCTTCTCAACACACCTCAAAGTCAATACAAAAGATATCAATTTTTCCTAAAATTGGATCATGGTCCACTTACCTTTCATAAGAGTCAGTGTGTGGCTTAAGTTGGATAAACTATTCGTAATGGATGTGAAATCAAAATTGAATGTAGGGGGTGAACGGAGGGGGAGTAATGTGTCTATAAGACATAATAAGAGATGTTACTTGACTTTATTTCCTATAACTCCAAAATCCCCCATCTTTCACTTTTCAGAGATGTAACATAAGTTTCTAACTGAGTTATTAAGTTCATTTTTCAAAAACACACAGCTATTACTCGTATATCTAATTTGCTAGTAAATTGCTGAGTGTGTTAAGCATGTGTTGGAGGATACAAATCATATGGACATAATAAAACGTATCTATTTCAAAAGTCTGAATTATCAAACAACCCCCTTTTGAGAGCTGGTCGCAAACATACTTTATTAACAAGTTTGACATTGACGAAGCACTTGTGATCATACATTATTTGTTATGCTGTCCGAGTAAATATAAGCAAATTTTGATTTTGTTTTAAGAAAAGTCATCATTAAGCTATTTTTAAGAAAATATAAGCAATATTTTCGGTGCATACATTATGTTCATGATAACACGTTATATTGGCAACAAAATGGAACACATTACTGTAAATGTTGTTGATAACAACAAACGTGTCGCAGGGTTCAGTGTAAAAAGGAATTTGAATATATCAGTTATCGTAAAAGACCATGTGCAGTATTGCAAGTGATTTTATCAAAATATTGAACCTATTTACTCAAAAGATGATCTCCTTTTTCTGATTTTTATTGCATGAAAAGATTATTTAACAAGGGGTCTAAAACATCTTCAAAAACAGAATGGAATTGAAAGTCTAGTTTTGAAGATATCAATTTTTGATGACCGAAATTATGCTGAAAACAATGGATAGCACAAGTTTTCCCTATGGGAAAATAACGTGGGATATGTGTTCTTTAACTTTAACGCATTTCAATATCCATCACCTTTTCAGAAATTGTTAATATAATGTAGAGGAGACTTCCGATCTGTTTAAATTGAGAAAAACAAGATCCTCGTTTTAGAAAATAAGCCTAACATTTTTTTAAAAGTGCCGAGGTGTGGCCCTAATCCATAATTTTTCAGAGATTTGGATTGATATTTTACTATCACGGGGACTTCACTTGAAAGAAAACATATTGTTTTAATAAAAAAAATACTGTATTTATGGCCAGAAAGTTCTCATGGTGAAAGATATGACTGTCTTAAATCACTTGCCATACTGCACATGGACATTTGCCCAAAACAGTTGACCCCGGATAGATTCACATTCCATATCATATTTCAATTTATATTTCAGGCTTAATGGTGACCATAAAGCAGCGTATAGAATTCCGTATAAAACTTCAGAAAAGGGCACGGAGACGAGCAGAGAGGAAACTGGAGTTGTATGACGCAGAGAGAGATCTAACAAACGTAAGGGAGTTGGCACAAAATCATCTATCTACACCCTATGCAGACAGAGCCTGTGGGAAATATTGGGTGCGGAGCAAATGAGCGGAGGGTGCGGAGCTAACGGTCATTTTTGAATTTAAATTTGGGATATTTCTGAAACTAAGCCGTTTTGGGACTTCAAATATACCAAGATATGTGTATTTGACACCAAATATCAATACAATTGTGAAAATAGTAGCGCAATTCATTCTATAGCGACGCAGTGTGCCTTAAACCTTTCCCAGACCTATATATTTTGAAATTATCCTTTTAATACTGAGTCCCCAGCATTCATAAACAATGGTGTTCAAGGTACACTATCTATACAAATTATTTTTGCATCTTGGAAGCCAGGCAGTATCTGTGTGATTTTATAAAAATTCGGAATGTTTTTCAGATATGAGCCCCCTCTAAATATTGGGTGCGGAGCAACTCCATAAACGTAGCTCCGCACCCAATATTTAGAGGGGGCTCATATCTGAAGAACATTTCCGAATTTTTATAAAATCACACAGATACTGCCTGGCTTCCAAGATGCAAAAATAATTTGCATGGGTAGTGTATCTTGAACACCATTTTTTATGAATGCTGGGGACGCAGTATTAAAAGGATAGTCTCAAAATATATAGGTCTGGGAAATGTTTAAGGCATACTGCGTCGCTATTAAATGAATTGCACTACTATTTTCACAATTTTATTGGTATTTGGTGTCAAATACACATATCTTGGTATATTTGAAGTCCTAAAACGGCTTAGTTTCAGAAATATCCCAATTTTAAATTCAAAAATGACCGTTAGCTCCGCACCCTCCGCTCATTGGCGCCGCACCCAATATTTCCCACAGGCTCTGTCTGCATAGGGTGATCTAGAATGTTAATTTATCCTAAAAGGCATCCGATTTTACTCATCATCACTCAAAATATATCTGTGTAATCACGTGTATAAGTTCTGTATCATATAATAATGTTCTTCAAAATTTATGTTTTGATATCCAAACGTTACACTGCATCCTCTTTATTCACTCTAAGAGGCGGTGATCGGTACAGCTTAGTGTGACTGAGACGGGATGCGTCAATATGTAGATTACATCACATGTTTTTCTGCTTAGTGATATAATTCATTTGTTATGTCACTGCTAAATTCCTTTGGTTTCTTGTGCAAGTCTCACGACAAGGAATCGATATTACTAATCCATATACGCGATTCAACTAGTTAAACTGTCATTTCTTGCAGAGAGAGATCAATGCTTTAAAGGAAATCTGCTATAATTATGGGGCACAGCAGTTTGAGGTAGATGCATGTAAACCCACGCGTGAGTAGACATGTTACATCAAAAATCATAATTCGTCAAAAAATGTTAATTCTTTCAATAATGAAGTTGTAAATGGGTTAACAATGGGTTTACGTCATTAAACTGGAGACGCTTCATAAATAATTTTCTATTTTGATCTAATTATCGGTTTAATAGAGGAATGATTGATTTCTATACGGCGCTAGTCTTCCTGCAATAATGTAGTGCTTATAATACATATTGATCTTTGCTGTCGTTCCAGCAAAGTTTGCGAAGAGGTTAGATACAAGTGGTTTGAGCGGTCTGTCCCTTTCCCTGTCAATGTCGATGTCAATGGGGATATTTGGTATGGGACGAAGAGCTAGTACTGCCCCATCTGCACCCAGCTCAGTTCCTCCCAGTAGGAGACAGTCTCTATCTCCTTCAGTTGATAGCTCCTACTCCCGAGGGAGGCCAAGGACCCCATCAAGTGAACGCAATATGGATAGTAAATCTGACCCGACTACCCCAAACGGACCCATCGTTACACCTTCTACTGCTAAACAAAGGACGATGTTGAAATTGCTTCACAGAAACCGTTCTGCTCAATCCATAACCTCTTTTATTGAGTCTAGAAAAAGCGTTAAAAGCGATGGTTATGAAAGTGACTCAATGAGAAATGCTATGCCATCTCTCGAAGAGGAAAATGAAAATGGTATGCAAAGTAGAAAACAATCAATGAAAAAACGACGTTCGGTAAAGAGAAAAGCAGATGAGCGAATTGGTCAGAGTACTGATTCCTCATCAGATGAATCTAGTAGCAATAGTTCAGTTTGTTATGTAAATATGGATAAAGTGAAGTCGAGCCCCGTAGAATTTGATTTAGTAGAGAGCGGATATTTCTCCTTGAACAACAATGAAAGTGATAAGGGAGAAAAGAGTGAAACGCGTAAACCATCAACGGAGAATGTTCCAACCACAGCAGACATCGAGATTGACGTTCCCAAAGATAAAACTACTTTTAATGTTGTTCAAAATAAGCATCAGGACACTAAGAATGACCACAAGCATCAAAATCAAATATTGTTTACTCCAAGAGAAAGACCAAAACTAAGAATCGATATTACTAAAGCAAATAAGGGACGACTAAATATCCCTAAGCAAATCCCCACAAGATCACTACAAAATGTTAATCATGTGGCAAAGTCACCGAACCATCTGAGCGTTCAGGACATACCAGCATTGAGCAACAGTTGCAATAGTCTCATTAAACTTAATAATCTGTTCCGAAACAAAAATAACAAAGACAAGATAATGGAAGAGCATTCTAGGGCACAGTTGACTATAAATGTACCCCCTTTAAGTAATAGCTGCAACAGTCTTGCATTTAAATTAAATCAGAATCATTGTACTAAAACATTGGAAGCAACAAACCACCTCGATGTAAACAATAAGCAACACTTGAGCAACAGTTGTGGCACTCTTATACAATTAAACAATACAGTGAAAGATAATGACATTCAAAGCAACCGGCACAATCTAGAAGCCACACCTTTATTAACCAATCGACAACCAGAGGAGGAATCACCAGTTTGTAAGTAAAAATCCAATTTAGAATTCTGCTATTCCAATTTAAATCTGCTATTAAAATTTTAGAAAGGATTAGAATAGAATACGACTGCGCTCTGTATATAAAGTATTCAAAAAGTCGCCCCATTGCCAACTTTACTAGCTGGACCACCATGTGACCATGATTCAATCATTCAAATGTCATTTTTAATCTTCTCTTTTGGCGTCATCTTTACTAGATCACTTACTATTTGAACTCAATGGATGTCATCTGAGGCAGCGTCTGTCATATATGTATGATACATGAAAAGAGATATTACGTTTACTACATAGTAGGAGGCCCTTCAAAGGGCCTCCTATAGTCTTTGTAGTTATTATTTGGAGACCCCATCGGGTCTTTCCAAACTTTTCAAGACTAAATTTCAACTTGCTTCAAATTGACCAATTTTTAAAAAAAAGATCATCTACAAGTTCTCAGGAATTCAAATCTGACCTTTTTTTTTTGTTTAAAATGTATTTATTTTAAGAGGATTGCCCAGAAGCATTTCGCTTATCGAGGGGCTCTCCTCTCTTTATTATTTACATTATAATTAGAGATGTTGGAATATACTATAATAATTGAAGTTTAAATTAGTAAGTGTGTTTGACGATTATCATGGAAAACGTCCAGTGTTTTTTATGTAGTTTTGACAAAGCATTAGGATATTTTGGTTTGATGTTGGGGTTAACAAGGGGCTACCATGAATGAGCAATTGAACCTTAGATGCAATAGATTTGAGGTTATGTCTGGTTTTAGGAGGGTATTGTTCAATTATTCTATCGATTCCTTCGAGTAGGATGACCCGTTGGTGTTCGTATAGGGGACATTTTAGGAAGTAGTGTGTTACGTCTTCCCTGTTTGAGGGACAATTGTCACAACTACCATCGGGTATGAGCTGGTACATCATGCGCTGATTGTTCAGGGCACTGAGTCCCATTCTTATTCTTGAGAGGTTTATGTGATGTTTTCCTTTTCCTTGTGAGAATAGCTTGTTTGGTTTGCTTAGAGAGGCTTTTTTGTAGTCAATTTTGAAACGACCAACAGAGTCTGTTGTTTTCAGCTCTTCTCCGAGAGAGTTCCACGTGGTAGCGACACTGTATAGGGTAGACCTTTTCACTTTTTCACTTCTACTTAACATTGTTTGCATGTTAAAATGGCGAGTGTTCAGACGACTTGGTCTTTTTGGGCTAACTTCGAGTAGATATTTGGGTAGATTTTCATTCATTATTTTATATCCGAGTATCATTTTGTAATATTTTCGTCGCTCAGCAAGTTTGTCCCATCCAAGCTCTTTAAGAATTTCACCCGTGTCGGTTCTCACGTAGGCCCTGGTGCATGCTAGTGCTGCTTGCCGTTGTATACCCTCGATGCGAAGACTTTGCTGGTTAGTACAGTTATCGTAGAGGATGCAGGCGTACTCAATGATCGGTCTGATGTAGGTTTTATAGTATGTTTCTTGAAGTTGCCTAGGGACGCGTCCGCTGAGTCTCCATAGGTTTCCTATTTGTCTTCTTGTTTTCTCACTCAGATTGTTTATGTGGTTTTCCCAATTTAGGTTTTCTTGAATGGTCAAGCCAAATCTGACCTTACTTTTGACCCGTGACCTTTGCTTGACCTTCAGTGACCTTCGAAAGTTCAAAAATTTGATTTTTCAAATTGATTTTCTGGATTCACATTTAGGTAAATTTGATCACAAAAGGACCACTGAGGTCTAAAAAAGTAGAATTTGCAAGGTCAAAGGTCAAGGTCATCAAACTTAATCACAAAGTGTGTTTTCTAAGTTTCTCAAAAATTGTAACTACAAATCAATATTTTTAATGAAAGTCAGGATATATATTCTTCTTAAGGTTCTTAGCACTTTTTCTCCTACTTCTAGCTAAGTCTGAGTTAACTCTTATATACTCCTTCTAGGAACCTTGGCTGAATTTGGGGGAAAGAATTTTCATCTCGGTCAAGGACAAAGGTCAAAATCTAGGTCAAATCTAAGTTTTTTCAAGTTTCTCAAATTTTGTCCTTATACTTCATTTTAGCTTGCGACAAATTGAATCGTAGCTAGTTTTAAGCATTCTCTACAAATTGCTCACTATATGTCACCATTAAATTTTCACCGTTTTTGAGATATTTGACGTCAAAAAACGGTAAAAATCTGTCATTTTCAACTCGCTTCAAATTGACCAAAGTTTTTTAAAGCATCTACAAGTTCTCAGGAGTTCAAATCTGATCTTAGATTTGACCTTTGGTTGACCCTCAAAAGGTCAAAAAGTTGACTTTCCAAATTGATTTTCTGGATTGAAAGGAGTGGTAAGGATATGGAGAACTTTTTGAACACACGTTTCTCTTAAACCAGTCATAAAAAAATCTAAAAATTTAACACATCGTCAATTTAAAGGTCATCTTTTGAATGGTAACAATATAATTTGAAAAATATATATATACTTTCATCTATATTGTTTTAGAAAACATATCAAACACTTGTTTTGTTTTTGGTATCATGTTTCCAGAGTGAAATGAAACATCTTTCCGAACCTCATTGGAACAAAACGACATAAACACAACATGTTTAGGTCTCTCAATATTGTAATTGTATAAAGGAAATTTTGGTTGGTTTTTAAAAAGTATCTTGTTAATGAAATTAAAGGTTTATCGTTATTTTTATCTATTTTGGGGGGATTTTGTTTTAAATTTTTGAGCACTTTTTTAAAATCAACCAAAAATTCCTTTGTATAACTATAATATTGAGAGGTCGAAAAACATGTTATATATGCTATTTCATTTTCAAGAATAGGTAGAAAGGAGCAAAAACAATTGCACTAAAAAAACAAAAATGTTAACAAAAACAGTTATATAAAATATTTCTAAACAATTTTCGCATTAAATTGTTGTCAATCAGTCAACAGTACATAAAATACCGTGTTTTTACAGAATGTTTTCAATAATTGGTTTACGAGAAAAACATTGTTGAATTCAGTTCTCCATATCGATACCACTCCTTTGGGTATATTTTATTACAAAAGACCTACTGAAGTTGCAAGGTCAAAGGTCAAGGTCATCAATCAGAGTTGGTGACAACAAATCAATATTTTTGGATGAAAGTCAGAAGAAATATTCCTCTAAAGGTTCTTCACATATTAGCAATTAACTATCTATTAAAATTGTGCACCAGTTTTGAGATATTAGATCATTTACAAGTTCTCACGAGTTCAAGTCTAGAAAAGTAAAATTTGCAAGGTCAAATGTCAAGGTCACCAAACTTAATCACAAACTGTCTTTTAACTTTCTTAAAATTCGAGACTATAGATCAATATTTCTGTATGAAGTTCATTTCTCTAAAGGTTATACCCATATAAACAATTGACTATGGATTAAGATTTTGCACCAGATTTTAGATATTAGAGTTCAAAAACTGAAAAAGGTCAAATTTTGAAATTTCTCAAGGTCAAATCTCACATTGCTTTAAATTGATCAAACTTTTTTTAAAAAATCATCTACAAGATCTCGGGAGTTCAAATCTGACATTAGTTTTGACATTTGGTTGACCTTCAGTAACCTTCGAAACGCCAAAAAGTTTATTTTTCAAATTGATTTTCTGGATACAAATCTAGTTATATTTAATCACAAAAACCTACTGAGGTCTAAAAAAGTAGGATTTCCAAGGTCAAGGGTCATCAAACTAAATCACAAACTTTGTTTTCTAAGTTTCTTGAAATTCGAGACTATAAATCAATTTTTTCACCAGTTTTGAGATACTAGAGTTCAAAAACTGAATAAATGTCAAATTTAGAAATTTTTCGAGGTCAGATTTCAACTTCCTTCAAATTGAACAAATATATTTTAAATATCGTGCAAGTTGCCTAGAGCTCATATATGACCTTAGATTTGAGATTTAACCTTCGGCTGTCCTTCTAATTGTCAAAAAACGCCTACTGGGCCTCCGTAAGATTGCTTGCAATCTTGATATCTAGTTATTTCCTATAACTACAAATCGTGTCGTGCGCCTATTCATTGAGCAATTCAATTATAAACTTCCTCCTAAAAATAAATCTCTCAGATTTGTTGAATTTTCTAGCAGAAATCGCTGTATCACCCTCCCCCCCCCACCCCCCGTTCATTTCCTCCGATCACCGGGCGTGTTAACCTCAATAAAATAAACAATTTACAACATTCCTAATCATTTGATTGTTCCAGGTGACGTGATAATTAAACAACCGAACTCCAAGCAAGTCATGGCAACAATTGTTACCATCGACGATATGTGACAAGTTAGGGATCAAATATTAGCCATCTACGTGTTCTAAACTGGCATACAGTAGGATTAACTGTTTTTCTCATCCTTTGGAACATAACTTGTAGGTACTCCTAGTCGAATTGCAACATCATGGAGACTTTCTTGATTACCATAGCGTTATCATATTCAGCAAATATATATCACCTCGAAAGATGCTGCACTACTGTCTAGAGACTTGGTATTCAGGTCTCAATCGATAGCTTCTAAAATATCTGAAAGTTGTTCAATTATAATTGCATTTAGCCTAATGGCCTAATTGACAGATTCAAGCAGGCCACTCCACTAACTCCCAAATAAACAAAATGGAGCGTGGGGAATCTTTCAAAATTTCTAGACTCTGTTGGAAAATAGATGGATGGATGGACTCTTAGCTGCTGTAATGATTTGAAGCAATGGAAACTTTGGAACGTGTGTCCATATTTTTAACAGTTGAAAAAATGATACTGCAAACGTTGATGCAAACGCTATTCAGAATTATTGTAGTATCTACGTTATACAGTAATACAGGGTGTCCAAAAAAACAGGACCGTAAGAAAGTTGAATAACTCGGTCAAATTTGCATATTGTACCTTGAAATTTCAGAATTATTTAGTTCATTCAATGTGAATTTAGTTGTAAAAGTTTGATAATAATCTACCAATTGAGTCAAAAACTACAGCTCCTTACAAAGCATGCCCCAAATGTGCACCTCTCCTCTCTATGCACAATTCAATCCGGCGAACAAAGTTGATGATGATCCTCCTACACACATGTCTTTCTGAATGAACAAGTTTGTTCCAAGAACAATTGCTACTGGGGCTTACATCCTCCTGATGAAGTGTTACAGCATCCATTGCATTCTGAACAATGCACTGCCTGGGTGTCAATGAGGAAACATGAAATCATCAGTCCTTTTTGATTCGAAGGTGACTGGGGACGTGCTATCACCATAAACAAGGACCAGTAAGTTGTTCACTAAGTTTTGGAGGTTACTTAAGTACCAGAAGGGACATCTAAGGAGATAAGCAGTGGTTTCAACAAGCCAATACCACCCCAACACTGCAAATGATATGCTGAAATGGTTTAGGGAATGCTTTGGTGGTCAGCTCATCAGTTGCAGAACGAAAACCATATGAGCAGCTCATTTGCCAGATCTAAATCACTCAAATTTTTATCTTTGAGGATTTCTCAAAGCCGATGTGTATACTGACAGGCCCCTAACAATCTTTAGAGTGCAATAACTACCCCAATATTTGCCATCCACATTATGTATATAGGTCAGGGTCATTAACAACTTTGTTGCAAAATATGCAAAATTGATTGAATTATGCAACTTTCTTACGGTCCTGTTTTTTGGACACCCTGTACTTAGCTAGAGGATATTAGAATACGACTACAAGTCAATATTCATGACTTTTGATATTTTGATATGTAATATTTTTCCGTCTGTCAGTATGTTTACAAGTCTGAAGCTTACTATTACAACCCATGAAGGGAAGCATCATGACTTTTGATTAATGAATGAATTACGTATATTTATTTTAGTTTGAATACAGTTAAGTATTGTTTAGACAAGCGAAGAGCAAAAAAGTACGATAGAAGTATTTAGCCACGCAACTACTACGAGTGTTCACATAGTTGAAAAGATGGCTTATATGTGTAGTCTTTGATTAATATTTCCTAATTTTTGTAAACATTTAAATGTTACATTATTGAAATGCGTTCTTTAAATGATTATTGTTCTTAAAATGAACTTAAAATTGGAGTATTTTCAATTTTTCTGTTAAATATATGAGTCTATACTAAGTATAATCGTTCTGCTTATTGTGATTTATTAGTTTTATTTGATGATTGTATGAAACGTTCTAAATACTGTAATTTTGATATTAGAAATAAATTGTTTAAATTATTCTTCAAAGTTACCTTCAGGTTTACTTTTTGTTCAATGATTTATACAAGGGCCGATCAAAAAGTTTCTTACCGTTGGCTCTAGATTTCATGATAAGAGGAGTTGGATGCTCAAACTTTTACATGAGACAGGGTAATAAGTTTGCTTGAAACTGTGGGAGTTTCATATTAATTGGTCCATTGGTAGTGACACACAGTCAATACACATTTTCAATGATTAAGTTAGGTGGAGCAGCGTTTTCTATAAAAAATTGTACAAAGCAGCAGTTTAGGACATTTCTAACACTAAGTAGTGTCATCTGTCAACAGACTGTAGTAGTAATCATGTTTAAGTAGTTTTTATGTCTAATATTCATCCTCCTTCAAAATATTCACTCCCAGTTGCAATGCACTTCCTATATCTGTCCACCCAATCCAAAAACACATGTTTAAGACCTTTGTATGAGAGGTTGCAAACGATGTCGGTAAATTTCCAGAACCACAACTCAGCAGATATTTTATATATATCGCTGCTCCACCTAACTTAGTCATTGAAAATATGTATTGACTCTGTGTCACTACCAATTAACCAATTTATATGAAACTCGTACAGTTTCAAGCAAACTAATTATTCTGTCTCATGATAAAGTTTGAGCATCCAACTCCTCTAATTATAAAATCTAGAGCCAACGGTAAGAAACTTTTTGATCGGCCCTTGTATTATAAAAGATTCAGCTAATTTTAAGTGAATAATTTGCCGGAATTGACTTACCGAGCGGCCATAAAAGGTTTTCCTCTACTAGTCACTATGCCTGAAGTATGAACCGTCACAAACATCGTGGCAAATACTGTATGTCAACAAATAAATCCGCCGGAGAAGTATATGTATACACATCATTACTTAAAAGTTAGAAAGTAAACTTGGGGAAATATACACTCCCCTCCATAAGTTTGGCAACCTTAGTTCCCCCATTTAACTACGTGTTAAACCCTCTTTACGTTTGAATTTTTATTTACTTAACCGGCGATGAAAATACTTATACTATTGATAGAAACGTAACTTGATTTTATTTCTAATACCTCCAAATTTTTTTCCTCAATTACAATAGGTCGAAAATTGATGATAAATTTGATGAACTTTTGAAAATCGTCATTCCCATGTAATCCAATGGGAAATGGAGGGTTCGGGGCAAATCATAAATCAGGATATCTTTTTTGTAAAACATTCAGCAAAAAATATTTCTATATAGAAAATTGAATTGTCTAACTTTTTGTACACTAGGTGTTTAGTTTATTTGATGAATACTAAAGTTACGGCGCTTCAAAGTCATTTAAAATAAGTTTTTGCCTTCTGTGTTATTTCAATGGGAGAGGTTTTTTGAAAAACAATTTTGACTTTAAAGCCCTATAACTTTGTTGAACCTGAAGAAACATATCAATTTTTTGTTAAATAAAGTTAGAAAATTCAATTGCCTGCCTAACTCGTATTTTTGCAAGGATTCGGATGGATGGATATACTATCATATGACTTGGGGCAAACCTACCCTTTCCCATTGGTTAACATGGGAATGTCGATTTTCAAAAAGTCATCAAATTTATCATCAATTTTTGACTTTTGTAATTGAGGAAAAAATTTAGAAAATTTGGAAGTATTGGAAATAAAGTCAAATTACGTTTCCATCAAAAGTATAAGTATTTTCATCGCAGGTTACGTATATAAAAATGTAAACGTAAATAGGCTTTAACACGTAGTTCAATGGCGAGCTAAGGTTGCCAAACTTATGGAGGGGAATGTATGTTCGGAAACGTCAAGCAATTGCTATGCTGAAAGTATAACCTGCGCAACGCATGTAAAGACTTGTAAACAAAGAAATACAGAAACAATATCTCTTGAAGAACACATTCTTACAATACTTATTACAAAATAATATTTATGAATCAAGCATCGTTTTGGAACACAACGTTACAACCATTGGCTAGTGCATTCACCTGAGCTTCGTCATAACCAAATGAACAGAACACCAGCTGAAAACAGAAAAAAATATTAATGGTATTAAATTGGTATATATGTTGCAGTCAGATTAATCGTAACAATTGAGATCTTAATCAGTTGATGCAATTAAACGATTAAAGTGTTGTGCGCGCATACGACAACATGCAGTTGTACCCCTTAAGGTAGTTTCGTATGTTCATTTTAATGGCTTCCTAATCCGAGCCCCATGTTATTTCATGTCAATTTCGAAACATATACGCCATGTAAAGAAAAAAGGTGCATGGTCCTTTATCAGTCGTAACATTTTCAAAATATTGTATAATATTGGAGGCACATGGCGTAAATATTGTGAATAGATGGCGGATTTTTTTTTTAAATTAAATGAACATTTAAAAAAGTTAGCATTGTCTCACAAACTCACTAATTTGACTAATGTGATTTTCATTTAAATTACATCATAAATTACAATTTGCTGTTACATTTTCCTCTAAGCATAGGACATCATTTTCTATATGTCATATTCTTCAAACTGTTCATAACTGACAGGTTTGAAAAATCATTGACACACTGACAGAAAATTATGGAAGTGCCAAAACCCGGCTAAAAGATGATTTTAAGACGATTATTTACGCCTTAAATAGCAGTGGAATTAGGGATAGGATGTTACCATTTTGCTCAATAAACACATATATGTATCACAGCTGACACAAATGCTGGTAGTAAAACATATTTATGGGTCATTGAGAAAGATTAAGGAATATGATTATCTTACAATTTCAAGTTTATTGTTATGTTACCCCTATCCCTCATTTTGAACTGAAAAGAGACCTCTGAATATGAAAGATATTACCTCAAACTTTGTCATTAAATGATTGCTATTCATCGGACTTTCATTCTATAAATCATATTTTTAACAAAGTTTTATTGGATTGAAAACTTTTTAAAATGGCGTATTCCTCTAAACGTAACTAACAATTCAACTTCATGTCTCAGAAGATCCCCTTCTTGAGCACATTGCTGGGTATAAGATTTTCTCATATTCATGACGCCAATTTATGGTAAAAAGTTTGGGAGTTGTTCTATTCACTCCTTTCTAACTGAATTTTTTTTCCATTTGATCAAAGTAGACATGAGGCGATATGTTTTGAAATTTAGAGATGTTAGCTATAAACTCAAACAAAAATTCAAACTACACGCTATTGTTTTGATTGCACAAGACGAAATGTCCACTCCCAGGGAGCACTTTGGTAACACTTTAAAGGAGGATTCCTGAAAAATCGTTCGAATTTTCACAAAAGGTTTCATGCAATTTCATTGCTTTGGCAATTTCATTGCTTTGTTGCAAAGCCTCAACCAAATTCATACTCAAATCCGATACCATAATTATGAGTTAAAATGAAACATTAACCTCACCAGGTTATATGATAAACCGTTTCGAGCATTGGTGATTTGAGTTAAACTGTGGATACTTATATAAATGTAAGTCGGCATGTATTCGACAGTTAATGTACACATATGATGTATGCATCAACGTGTGACTTAAATATCAATTCGCGACCATCATATTTGGCTTTCAAAAATTAAGTTAGAAGTTACAGTGGTAGGAGATTACCGAAAACGTCAATCACATCCAAATATCCGAACGACGTCAAGTATTAACAATAAACTTTTCGTGCATCTCGAACAAGGCAGGGTTCTGCCATCAAGCAATGTGTATTCCGAAAGAAAAACTTCAACAATTTTCATTGAGTAGGAGATTACATTCGAAATAACAACTTTCAAATTATTTGTTTCAACCAAGAATTTTAAGAACTTGAAACATGTTGTTAGTTTTTCAAACTGCTTATCCTCATTTACGTTCTTTGACAATGATGAATCCATTTGAAAACATGGATTTTCTTCAAAACTACCCTTGAAATATAAGTATGTAGGATATTTCAGTGTAAATTGACACGCATTTGCTTGCTTCATATCAAGAAAAAAATAAATGCAGTACCATCTGTCAATATTCGAAAACAGAAAGTTCATTCTATATGTAAACAAGAAAAAATACATTTATCGTTGGTTCATAATGAAGTAGGGGTACTAGTATAAAGGGACATAGTGGAAATTCACTTTATTGTCCAGGTGAAATACTTAAAACAACCAATTTTACAAGCCTTTTTTAAAAATAAGATCTGCAATTGTTAACAAAATGTTACGCAACCGTTTTTTATTTGAAATTTCAAGCATAACGAACGTTTTCACTGATCGTTTTCAAAATTCCAAAAAAGAATTTAGAAATATTGTAATCGAAATTTCTTTTCTCTCTTTTCATAATGATTGTCTAAGGATAAATCACTTCCTAGCTAAATGTAACACTCGTCTTTTATAAGGCTAGTTACATCATATATATACCACTAACTGTTTTATTTTGGACTTTTTAATGTTACGCTAAGTGTCCCAAGTTTCTCGACGCATGTGATAGTAATACAAATTAAGGAGACGTTTTCATGTTCTAAATGCGTTTATTCATGAGCCATACTTACAGCATCAAATAGACCTTCATATCCATCCCCGATATACAAAGGATAGTCGGTGGTGTCGGGGGATCCTAATGAATGAAGAAGAGCGATCACATTTTTGGCAAATAACATCGATGCTTTTAAAATGAGTTAATTAGTCGTTTAAAAATCATTAACGTAGACGTGAACCTAAGACTACTAGTAGTAACAATTGGATCACATCAAGTTCCTGTACCCACTCCCTGCTTCAGTCCACTTAATCATTAAAGCTACAACGCCATGTAGAAGTGAGGTATGTTGTGTGGGTCACAAGGGCTTGGTGCAAGACAACAAACAATAATTATCTATAACTGGAAATAGAAATATACGAAAACTTAACGGAGAGAGGTGTAATATCTTCCATACCTTTAGCTTCGGTAGAATCAGAGAGACTTCCATCAATATACAATGAAATGACATCTCCTACTTTTGTTATTGTTACGAACTCACCACCCTTAAAATAAAAACATACGTTGCATTTTTCAATCACGGTGTTCATGAGCGACCTAAATGTATACCACCAGGCGTTTTCTGTTCAACGCAATACACCAACGTCAATGTGCATATATGTAGGTGTTTCAAGAGATTGTTCTTCAATACCATAATGTATGTAATATTAATTGAATCTTAAAACAGAAGAAACAAAAAGATTAAGCCTCACTCCACCACTAAGGGAAATTCCAGTCCCATCGTACATTGTGATTGAAACACTGGTTGATCCTCCAACAGATACTTCAAAGGTTGCAGCTACACCATCTCCACCATTAGTTAGTATAGTACCATCTCCAGTTGCACTAAAAATGCGAACGTAGAAATTCATGCTTGTAAATTAAGACATCGTGTGAATGTTATAAAAACCAAAACATCTTATATATACTCGTACTAAGTGTAAAACGTAATAAAATAAAGATGTCATAATCATCGATGGTCTTACGCAAAACTGAAAGTGAATTCTTCTCCAAGAGATTTTCTGGCAAAGAAATCCAAAATGGCCACGTCATCTCCATCAAATGCAAGTGCGTTGGCACCACAACTTCCAGCTCCCTCTTCTATGGTTGCATCTCCGAGTTGAATAGACGTGTTCTGAAGCTGATCCATTTCAAAGAAGTGTTCTTCGAATGAGAAATCAATGCAGTCACATTCAGGAGCAAATACTGCAATAATACAGAATGATATGTAGTTGAAAAACTAATGATTTTGACCAAGATAGAGAATAGAAGAGACAAACATTTAATAAAACACCATTGTCAAAACATGTCATTAGATATAGGCCTATAAAGTCCTATAAAAAAGGCCTATAAAATTTATTGCTTTCCAAATGCAATTTACAATATTCCCAGCTCAGGAGAACAATGAACGTATATGTATTACCAGCCATTCCGAGACAGCAACAACATTCGACATCAAAGACCTGCCCAACAGGGCAGAAGGCGAGGTTTTCAAAGTTTTCCATATCACCAACCCAGAAAGAACTTCCGTCTTCAAATGGATCGTCAGTGTCCAGTGAATAGACGACACCTCCAATGCAACATTGGGTAGACCCTAGGGTAAGTGGACACTCCCTCTCAACCAGCTCTACGAGGTGATAAGATTATGAATTTAATTTTGACGTTTTTAACTTCAAGTACATGTTAGTTATACACATGTTTATATAAATGCGACTATTCTGGCGACATATGCACATATTTAGTCATTGTACAATAACGTCAAGAAGAGCGTCCATATACTTGGTCTTTACCACAAATGAAGCGGTTGATGGTGAGGAACCCTGTGTTACCATTGGCAGTTATATGCACAAATATTCACCAAATTGCGACAAATCAGAGATGCATGACCACCAATCCCATACCTTCCATGCATTCTGCGTCTTCACATCCGGGCACCAGAGAAGGGTCGTCACAGTTAAGAATAGCCTGGTTCCATACAGACCCCATACATTGTACATCCCAGAATCCGGTCTTGTTGGGGAAGCATTGATGGTAGCTACAACAGTCGTCATCGGGGCTTTGGAAATAAAGGTCACTCTCACACTCGGGAACGGGTGCTAAGAAAATAATTGCATCGTATTACCTTTATTTTCAATGACTACATGTTATACGTGCAATGAGATTAAATTCGAATTTAATAGTAACAATGACAACAACAACAACAACAGAGTATGATCAGAATTAGCTCCTCGCAATTTTTTTTGATTAAATCTAAAAGTATTTATAATTATTATCATTAATTAAGTTTGGTCTGTCCTTTCATGTTTACAGATACTTATTTCTGCTACCAAGATAACTCCCTCTCCGCCCCCCCCCCTAATAATATAATAAGTCAGATTAGGTCTACTTTCATAGTTCATTCTCAGAAGGCAGCGTTTATGGTTCATCAAAATGGGGCAACTTTCATAGTTACGTAAAAATTAGGCAGCTCTCATAGTTAAGCCAAAATTCGGTAGCTCTGATAGTTCAGTCAGAATTCGGTAACTTGCATAGTTTAGTCTGAATGAAGTTGTTAATACATCCGTCAGATTTAGCCTTAGATTTATCTTTCAGATTTATTAAGTCCGAATGAGGCTTTTTGAAACAAAGTGAGGTTACTTCCGTAGTTCAGTTTCAATTGTTGCGACCCTCGTTATGGTAGCGTGAATTGTGAGTCGCAAACAGATGAAGTTAAAGTTAAAATTTTGAATCAAGTTCAGTATTAAATCAATGCGGGAGGGGTAAGATTTCTCTGAACACACTTCACTAGTTAAAAGAGTAAATAGTCCTGGATTTTAATTATACACAGGGACATCTGTGGTCCTGCCATGGGTATGTGACATCTGCAAAACACTTGGGGCAGCAATTTGGATCATTGGTCCATTGGGCCAGACAAAAAGTACATGCATGAATTTCATGTTCTGGATAGTGAACGGTGTCATTTGTTCCTAAAAATTGTTCACATGGCTGGCAAATAAAGTGACCACAGGGCAAAAGCACAAGACTATGTGTACTATGGCAATGGAAGCAGATTCTGGTTTGAGTTATAGTCATGCTGAAGAACGTAGGGAAAATGCTAACTATTAGGGATGAATTCTGGGATAATTGTTACGGGATAAGAATATCGGAATATAGACTAAGTAAGATTTGTCGACTTTAGTTTGTATATCTCACAGAGGCAAATGGCAACAGACTCCAGATTCTAAATGGGCCCAGTATTAAGTTGTACCAAATAAGTATAAAGTCTGGGTGTGAGTATAACCAGGTGGAAGTCTTAGCCACTGGGGGCTACAATGGACTTCGAGCTGTATATAAAGCTCACTGTTCACACTTAAAATGGGAGATTTTATAAGAATTGAAGTAGGGCTATTTCAAATCAAGAGTCTGTCAAACTCACCAGGGTGAATGAAATTCTCACTGATATTATCAATAAGACAAGGGTTAAACAGAAAGTAAGATCCTTGATTGTACTTTATCTATACCCTATTGCATAGTTTCTGGGAAAATATATGTATGACTTATTGCGAGTGATAATTATTCAAAGTTATCAAGTAAGTTGTACTTGTATCAAGTTATGTTATACAGTTATGTCAAACCTTCGTTGGCAAAGTGTAGAATCTTAAAACCGAGGCTTAAATCATGCTTAAAAAAGTTACTTAAATGGGTCTTCTCAGTGTCTAGACATTTACTTAAAATGAGCTTAAGTACTTAAAATGTGCTTACAATGACCTTGACCCTATAAGTGCGGTCCAAGAGGCCTATATCCAGTGAAATTGCACGAAAATAACTATGCCCAAGTAAAAGATCAGCTCAATTATCTTCCCCTGATAATTATGAAAGAATTTGGCGAGGTTACTGGCTGTACAAATGAGTTTTGTGAGCAGAAAAATGAAACTGACTCGGAATGATTGTGATGCTCAATTCCAGTAAGCTGCCATCTTTTAAAATTTCACACAGGAAGTGATGTCATCGACTTTCAACTTTGCATATATCATTAGGTGAGGAGCTATTAAGAATTACAAAACCAGCTAAATATTCTTTTTCAACTTTGTATCTTATTTAATCCTTCTGAAAATCTCTTCTTTTATTCTAAGTTGACAAGCCCTGAAAATATTTTTGCACAGAAAGTAATGATCACTTGCCTAGAAGTGATTTTGTGTTACTTTCCTATACTGTTATGGGCAAGGTTATAGAAGTTGAGAGTTGATGACATCACTTCCTGCAAGAAATCTTAAAAGATGGCAGCTCACTGGAAATAAGCACTATATTTTTAAATGATCAATATTGACCATATTAAAACATTTTTCCATGTTTTGCTAAATATGGAAACTATATATATGATTATAGCTACCATATCAAGAGAGAAAGGGTCTGGCAAGGAATATTCCTTTAAGAAAATGTACATACCTGCGAACAAATAGTTCAGAAGACAACATAATATCGTCGATATAATTCCTAACTTAAGTTACTGAAACGGTATTCCGAAAAACAGTTAAGATCTGCGCTTTTAACCCATACCGTTTCTGTAACTTTAGTGAGGAATTAAATCGACGATTCTGTTGTCTTCTGAGCTATTTTTTCGCAAACATGTACATTTTCTAAACGAACCGTTTCGGTAACCAGCGTAATCGAGTGAATCACCAGTGACCATCAAATTGCCGATATTTCAACCTCGTTATGTTATTTCAAGCATGTTATTGCATGGTGGTCTAGTTATACACGTCGAGAATAACGCTAGTCCCAAACTAGCCCGAAAGAGATTATTTCCCTAATTCAGGCTATTTTTATTGTTCATTAAGAATTGGAATGTATTCATAATTGACTCAAAATGAGGCTACTTTCTTAGTTTAGTCAAGGTGAAACTTTTTTCAAAGTTCAGTCAGAAAAAGATCTGCAATCCGTCAGAATGAAGCTACTTTTATTGTTTCAGAAGAATGAGATGTTTTACTTACCGAGTTCGGTTTCACAGCAACAGTCCTCGGAGCTGAACACATCACCTTTAGAACAATTCAGGAAATTGAATGCATCATCCTCGGGCCATTCACCATCCAGGTAGCGGAATCTATATGCAGCCGGGCTGATGTCTGGTAGTGCTTGATATACACCATCTTCCCTCTCAATACAGCAGTGGTCGGCACCTGTAAATATACAGTTTTCAATTTCTCCAGGCAAGATCTCAGAAATGATTATCAGATCAAGTCTACGATTAGGTACTTTACCGGACCCTGTCTATAGATGTTTCATTATTTCTCAAAACTTACCATACGTAGCCTTGATTTCAGCGTCACTTTCACAGCCTACCCTTGGTGGTGGCGACACTACAATATATGATTTGGGCATTTGTTATATTCAAATAAATAAATCACAATAAATATTCGCATTAATTATAAAAAATTGATGTTAGAGAAATAAGTAAACCTTATGATAAATTATCAGATAACCTTTGATACCAATGTAAAATATAGACAAGCTATCTTTGTGTCAACAAGACCGCACTTCCGGAAGCAGAGAATTTTTGTCGATTTTGTCCTCGTTTCACGCTTCAGAAATCTTAGTATGTAATTTCCTTGTTTCTCAGAGAAACTTTCCTTGTTTTCATAGCAGAGGTATTGATTTGCGAATATCTAACTAATGAATAAAGTTATTTCTGTGATGTAAAGATATTTCAAAATCGGAACTCAAAAACTACCCGCGAGCATGAAATGAGTTTGAAGGACAAAAGTGATAAAATCGTAAAAAAATCTATCTCTACTTCTGGAAGTATTATATTGATAGTGATACTGCATTTATAATTAAATGGATGACAAATCCGATGAATTTTTGAAAATCGACATTCCCATGTAAACCAATGGGAAATGGTATTTTTGCCGCAAATCATATGAAAGAATATCTATCCATCTGAGTTCTCACAAAAAATACCAGTTGGGTAGTCAATTGAATTTGTTAACTTTAGTTAACAAAAAATTGATATGTTTTTTCAGGTTCAAAAAAGTTATAGGTCTTCAAAGTCAAAATAATTTCAAAAACATCTCCCATTGAAAAAACACAGGAGGCGAGAAGTGATTTTCAAAAATGACTTTGATGCTCAGTAACTTCAGTATTCCTGAAGTAAACTAAACACATAGCTGCGTACAAAAAAGTTAGAAAATTCAATTTTCTAAAAATATTTTTGGTGAATATTTTACTGAATAGATATCCTAAAATCTAATTTGCCCCGAACCCACCATTTCCCTTTGGTCTACATCGGAATGACGAATTTTAGAAATTCATCTTTATCATCAATTTTCAACATATTGTTATCGAGGCAGAAATTGGAAAGGAGGTATTGGAATTTAAATCAAGTTACATTTCCATCAATTTTTTAAATATTTTCTCCGCACATTATGTAAATAAAATTTCAAACATGAATAGGCATTAACACGTAGTTCAATGGAGGGGGCTAAGTTTACCAAACCTATGGAGGGGGGTGTATGAACGTCTTCATAATATTGCAAATTTCACGATGTGCATTTAAAGCGTATTAATAGTAACTATAAGACTCCGGATTGAAAATTGGAAATCGAAATTAAGATCCGATTACCGGTTAACATTTTATGAACTTTGAGATTGAACATCTGTCTCTTACTTTTGGCTGTATTCTTATTTTCATATCACCACATGTTCTCGGTAACTGGAAGACTTAGGGTAAATCTGAATATATCGTCAGTTCGGGTATGTAACTGGCCTGCTCGGAAATTAAGTCAAATCTTTATCTATGTCAAAGGTCAAAATCCAGGTCAAATTTTTAATTTGTCAATAATTTTTGTATGATTCATTATTTCCATTATTTCTCTTCATCGTGTAGCTCAGAAAGAGAAAATTTGGGTGTATGCCATCCGTTTTTTGATTACTCCTCCGAATTTTGAGATATAGCGTCCCAAAAAAGGTCAACAAAAAGTTATCCAAATCCATTGAGACCGGTATTCATTTGTAAGGAGATTTGCTCAAGATTCCGAATCTGAAATTAAAAATCAGACGCGATTTCTGGTTGACCTTCTATGGCCTTTTAAACTTAAAAAGGTCATTTTCTACATATTTATTTTGACTTTAAAATTTAACAATATAGTAGCACCTTAAAAAGTCAGTTAACCCAAAATTTTGAGTATAGGATAAGATCTCTTAGTATTCCCAACAATTCCCTTTCTCTATGTCGCAATGAAAATATAACCACCTTAAAAAGTCAGTTAACCCAAAATTTTGAGTATAGGATAAGATCTCTTAGTATTCCCAACAATTCCCTTTCTCTATGTCGCAATGAAAATATAACCAATTTTGAGAAAGGATAGGTATTGATATGGTGAACTGAATTCAACAATTTTTTTCTCTTAAACCAATTATTGAAAACATTCTGTAAAAAACGGTATTTTATGTAATGTTGACTGATTAACAACAATTTAATGCGAAAATTATTTATACATATTTTATATAACTGTTTCTGTCAACATTTTTTTGTTTTTTAGTGCAATTGTTTTTTGTTCCTTTCTACCGATTCTTGAGAATGAATTAAAATGTCTTTCCGAACCTTGTTGGAACAAAATAGCATATACAACATTTTTTTAGGCCTCTCAATATTATAGTTATACAAAGGAAATGTTGTTTGATTTAACAAAAAGTATTTAGAAAATTAAAACAAATCCCCCACAAATGGATAAAAATTAAGATAAACCTTTCATTTCATTAATAACAAGGTATTTTTTAAAACCAACCAAACTTTCCTTTGTACAATTACAATATTGAGGGACTTATACACGTTGTGTTTATGTTATTTTGTTCCAGTGAGGTTCGGATAGATGTTTCTTTTCATTCCAAACATATGATACCAAGAACAAAAGACGTGTCTGATGTGTTTTCTAAAACAATATTGATAGTACTACGGCCAAGGCCATTTGTGTCCAAAACACCTAGGTTCAATTTGACTTAAATAGATTCTTGTAGGATACATGGACATTGATACATGGACACAAATGGCCTTGGCAGTAGTACTAAGAGAAAGGTATATTTTTTCAAATGGTGCAAAAATGGTGACTTAATGTAAGTATCAAGGACCATGGGATCTTGTATCAAGTGTTCATAGTTCAAAATCTAGGTCAAGATAAATGAAATATGATAATATCCCGGTTACAAGTGAAGAAAAATTATTGATAGTTGTTATATACTATATATATGTTTTCTTTCTCATTTTGTCATTGATTTCAGAGGTTGAAGTTTTAGATTTTGATAAAAAGTCAATATTAACAGTAACCTGGAGTCTTGAATTGAACTATGTTCAATATCACCCATCTACTTGTAGTTATATTTTGGTATGGCATATTTCTGCTCTGATAAGCCAGTAAAGTTAAAATATCCTTATTGTAGATTGTATGATATAACTTTTTTCATTTCCCACGTGACAGTGTTTTGTTTACGTGTAATTGTTTACTTACTTGAACATGTGCTGTGAATACAAGCCCCGGCAAGGTTAAAGTCCTGATCACATGCTGGAATTTCTCTGTTCCATACTAGCGGGTAGAGACAAGCAAACCTGCAATATAGAATCTATATACAACTTTTAGATTGCTTGACTTATATAATGTCACGATGCGTAAACCGAGATTCAATCCTAGACCATTGAAGAACGTTAATCATTTGTCCAAGTCTCTGAAAGTTTCATTAAAATGAAACTTAAACAATGTGACATTGTATTCAGAAAGCGCAACTGAAAACATGTCATATTGAACAGAAGTGTTCAGGCATTACTGAAATATAATATGGCTTAGTGGTTGAGCACGTTAGTTTGTGCTTTGGGGAGGTGTCGTCCTTTACAGTAAATCGGGATACAAGGTTTTGAATGCCAGTTCGATTCTCGTTAGGAGAAGCAGGGGCGGATCTGGGAACCAACAAGGGGGGGGGGGGCCAAATTTCCGGTCTTAGAAAAAAACGTCCGTGCAAAAAAAAATTTGGGCCCCTAAAACCAAAAAGTGGGCCCAAATTTTGAAATTTTGAGACCCATTTTCTTGAAAATTTGGCCTAAAACTAAAAAATAAGGCCTTAGAAGGCCCATTTATGACCAAAAAGGCCTACATTTTCGGGCCTCAGGGCCTTTTTTGGCTCAACATTTTTTCTGGGCCCACCCAAGGGGGGGGGGGGGCCGGGCCCCTGGGCCCCCCAGATCCGCCAGTGAGAAGGGTAGCTTAAATTGAGTTCTCACTGAGCATAGCAACGAACCCGGCAAACTTAAGTGTTAGCAGTTACACTGAATATTTTGAATTACATTTGAAGTCACAGGACATTATAGTGACAAGCTATGTATATACTTGGACGTCATTCATAAAGACCAATGATCAGATTTTAGATGACTGATGATAAGATGACTAGTATGTTTTAATGTTATATGATTGTTTTGATGAATAGCGCAACCGTTACATTTAGTATGTTTGATTTATAACTTTTGGGGAGGACGCCATCTTCTCAGAAGGAGGGGAGTTGTGTAACGGTTGCTTGATAAGGCTTGTCATGTTTTTAACTTGCAAACAATGCTATCGTCGTGTTAATAGAACAGCATTATAGAAACTTGTTATTGGAACAAGGTATATAATTTAGTTGATATCTGTAACTGAAAACTAGAACACTTTAATTAGTCATATGACGATATTTGAAATAGAGAGTTAAACTGGTTTTGGGTACAGCTAACTTTTATGTGCGAGTTGTACAAGTAGTAGTAACCAAAACCCCAGAAAATCCAGACATATGTCCCGTTGAAGAACCCTAAGTTGTATTACTTGGAACCTTTAGTATTGATACTTCTCTGCTGATTCCTGTTTTTAAAGCAAATCGCTTGGAGTTTTTTTGAAGTTATGGAGGACTTCAGCAAGGGGCGATTTTCAAGAGTTATTTGAAAATATTTTCAAAAGGAATTTCTACACGGTATACACAATTGTTCTTCAAATGATAAATTATTTAGAACCTTATAGTATCAGAAGAAATGATATAAAGGTTATCAAATGTTATAGTCATCAGATGAGACAATAAACTCTATCTTTGACTTTTCCTTTTTTCTTTCATTTTCTTACTGGTGATCATCACATTTTTTTCTTTTTAATCTTTGATCTTTCTAATGTTTATCATTAGAATTTTGGGTGGTAAAAATCAAAAACAATTTTTATCTAGAATGTAGTGAATAAGACCAATTTTTTTTAAATCTAATTATTGTTAAAATTGTGTTATCCCTGGAAATCGAGAAAGTGTTCAAAAACATATAATTAGTTTAAAATACGCCGTAAACAATTTTATTAAGAAAATCTAAAACTCTCTCAATATGTCTAAACACTTTTTGGGTATAGTTTTGCATGATGCATGCATTTTTAAAAATTAAAAGTGAATCCCTTGGGCAGATTTTTATGAAACAAAATAAATGTATATAAAAAGTGAATTTCTATATTGGATTCTTGATAGAACTTTTGCTCATAAAAGGACCCCTGTTAAACTCCAAGGGATTTTGTTAAAGGAGCACGTAGGTTATCGCAAACAATTTCAAACGATTCTAACTTGAATTATGAATATTTTTTGATCATGAATATGGGTGTATCTTTTAGATCCATTCATTATCTTCAAGAAAAGTATATATAATGATAATTTAGTTAATCAGACCTAAGTGATATTGAAGGGGCAATGGACCAATCAACATACTTTTACAAAAATGTTGACCTAATTTTCACCAAAAATGCAACCTATTATTATATTGTTGAATGCATAATTAGAATGTGCTTTGAAACATGTTCGATTTCCTAAAAGGAAAATTTGATTGCTCCAGGGACTTTAAAGATATTCAATTTGGATGACCAAAATGAACTGAAACCAATGGATAGCATGAGATTTTTCAATGGAGAAATAACATGGGGAACACTTATCTTAATGCAATTAAGTTTTTCTTTCAAGAACTATTTGATACATCAAAATAAAGAATAGTAATGCATTAAACATTGTAAAAAATGATTGCATTTTTGGTGAAAATGGGGTCAACATCTTCAAAATTGGGTCAAAAGGTGTGTTGATGGGTTAATTGCTATAGTAATATCTCCGAGTTTGTTTGAATTTATTATTACTGTGCATAATTTTCTTTGAGATAATGAATTGATCTAAAAGATAAACTTGTCTTCATTGTCAGAAAATAGTCATAATCCAAGATATAACCTTCTGAAATTGTTTGCGATAACCCACGTGCTCCTTTGTAAGAACAAATCAAGGACTGTCTATATTACTATTTCAAAGCATTGAAAACAGGGGTTCTGCAACAGGACATAAAACCTTAACGAAGCTTCTTTAGAAATTTTTTGTTGACACTAAAGGTTGAGATCGTCAGTTGACCTGGGTAGGATACGATGAAGACTGTGTGATTTTGGCTTCTTGTTGGATGCTTGGATTTTGGACCATGCTTTGTTGAGTCTTAGTCCGGCAGCGTAGTGGGCTTACCTTGTTTTGTCTGATTAAGTTTTTTTCTCTGCAGATTATGCATTGTAAGGGTACCCGTAGTGATATCTGGGTGGGTGTAGAGGTCTCACCCTTGAGGAATTTTAGCAAAATGCAAAAATCCAATATGGCCGCCATGAAATCCAATATGGCCGCCATAAAAACTTTGAAATGTCATAACTTGGTTAATATTTATGATAAAAACTTGTTCTTGGTGTCAATTTCTATGTTTTAGGGGTAGAGGAATTGAATGGAAATGTTACTTTTTATGATTTAATATGATATAATGAAGAAGTTTGCAATTTTCCCATATTTTACAAAATATTTTGGGCAGATTATTTAAAAAGCAATACTTGTCCTTAATTTGGCTTCAAAGATAATATAGGATTTTAACATAACCCTTTTTTAAAACAGTGCCCAGAGTTTGAACACCTTTGGACAAAAGTAGACAGCCAGAATTAGAGCTTAAAAAGTAAACTTCAGTGATAATCTAACTTGATAGAGCACAATAACTGACCCAAAATGTACATCTGTGCAGATGCAGATCCACAATGAAACACATGCTGTAGTCTTATAAACATTAACACATGTTGTAGTCATATAAACATTAACTTTATTCAAGGAATGCATATATTTTAGAAGTGTACATGTACACAATCAATGAAAAAAAGGTTTAAATCAAAGGCAAAGATGTTTTAACTACTGATCACAAAAAGATAATGTGATTATTTTTCAATTCTAATATAGATCATGCTCTGGGGGATCACATATACACATTGTGTAAAGAATGTTTAATCATCATTCTCTTCTTCCTCAGTATCAGTTTATTGTTTGCAACTACATATGTTTGATTTGCATGGGATTTGACTTCTATAGGAACACCTGATTAGTTTGAGTAGTTCGTTTGGATCAAGGGCACACCAGACGGAATCATCTTTGAAGTAAGCAGGTCAGAATCGTCATATTTTGTCCATCCATAATCTGGGGGGTTCAACTCTGGTGGATGTGCGTCAAGTGAATGCAACCAAATTGCAACTTGCAGAAGAGCCCTCAATACATTTTACTAAAATGATTCATTTGTTGGGAGTAATGAACAAATGCACAATGTGGTGGCTTTTGTTTGCCCAACCTTCTGCATCCATGTTTTCTGCCAAGCCTTTGTTAGGGACACACATTTCGATTGTCCATAACATGCTAAGATGAAGTTGGTAGCCTGGTCTTGGATATCTGCAAAGGATGCATGGCCTAAAGTCACATTTCCAAGCAGCTCCAATTTGTACTTTCCTGATCTCAGTACTTTAAGGCCCGTATGTTTGCCAACACCAAAGTAGCATGCTACAGTGTCGCAGCTTGTTAAAGTGTGGGTTGCAAGTAGTTGCGGCACAATATCCTTGTGCCAAGTTTTTCTAAGGTCCCATCAATATCAATGAGAGCCCTTCCTGCTGCAGGTTATGACATGACATTGGAGGTTCCTGCTGTTGTGCTTTATTGGAAGCAACAGTGAGGATAACATTTTGTGCAGGGAGGCAAGTATTCGACTGAAGATTGAAGGTTTGACTGGCATTTTTAGTACGAGACTGGCTGGTACGTTCTTTGATACTGTTTTTGTAGTATCTATCAAATATCAGGTAAACATCAGCTTTTTGCATCTGCCTTTGGATGTAGCCATGGAAATTTGTAAGATATGTCTTCACAGTAGCACGTACCGTTAGCAAAGGAACACCAGGCCCGTAGCCAGGATTTGCCAAGGGGGTTCACTTTTTGAAATATTCCAGAGGGGGTTTACCTTTGACAATTTAGGTAAAAAACATAAGAAGTGAGTAGCTCCCATAATAATATCATATTCTATCGTATTTGGGGATTCCCCTTAGCCATCTCATATGGTCATACAAGCCTTATATGGATCTTATGATATTCAAAATGGCGGACAACGGTCAGTTGGATTCCTATATGGTCATGTAAGCCTTATATTTAATGCTGTAGTTGATATACGGAAGTACAATAGGATAGCACAACGAGGTTAACGCCTTTGTCGTTATCGCTAGTATAGTAGTTTGAGATCAATATAATGTTAGA